TCTTAAAAACAGTACAACATCCTTGTCTCGGCCCACAGAACAACCATTCAGCCCAACATGCCAACAGGAAATGGCAGCCACATACACCTTTAAGGTAGATGGGGACCGTCCTTGATCCAGCAATGCCTGCAGGAAGGTCAGTATGTCAGAAACTGAGCACTGCACCGGGTCCTGCCCTCTATCACGGCACCAGGTCGCAAAGACCGTCCACTTGTTAGCATAGACAGCTCGCGTGGACGGCGCCCATGCATTAGCCATTGTATGCCCTATGGACCCAGTGTATCTTGAGAAGGTGGACCCCGGCCTTGCAGGGGCCAAATCCAGAGCTGGAGCCGGTCCGGTTCGGGGTGCAAGATCTGACCCCCCATCTGAGAAAGAAGGTCTCTCCTGGAGGGGAGACGCATTGGCGAGCCGGAGCTGAGCTCGCACAGTAGAGGAAACCAAGTCCTCGCTGGCCAGTAGGGGGCCACCAGCAGGACCCTGTGCCCCTCCTGACGTACCCTGAGGAGAGTCTGAAAAAGTAGGCTGAATGGCGGAAAGGCATAAAGGAGGGTCCGGGGCCAGTCATGTGCCAGAGCATCGTGGCCCAGAGGGCTGCTGTTGTCCAACGAGAACCAAAGGGGACAGTGAAATGCGTCCCTTGAGGCAAAGAGGTCCACGTCCGCCCTGCCAAAGACCTTCCAGATGCACTCCACCACCTCTTGGTGAAGCTTCCACTCCCCTGGAAGCGGCTTCTGACGGGATAGAAAATCTGCTGGCACGTTCTCCGGCCCTGGGATGTAGGCTGCTCTGAGGCTGGCTATGCGTGGAGCTGCCCAGGTCAGAAGCCGTCGAGTCAAGCACAACAGTTTCCTTGACCTCGTGCCCCCCTGGTGGTTGATGTGAAAGACCACTGTGGTGTTGTCTGACCTCACCAGCACGTGCTTCCCCCGCAAGCCTGGAAGAAAGCTCTGAAGAGCCAGAAGTACAGCCTGTAACTCCAGGACATTGATGTGTTCCCTGCCCTGCCGCTGGGACCATGTCCCCTGTGCCATTTGACCCCGCCAGGTTGCACCCCAGCCCGTGGAGGATGCATCTGTAAACACAACTTCCCGACGACACGGGAGGGAACCGAGCGGGACCCCTGTGGTCATAAACAACCTCACCCTCCATTGGGACAGAGACTGAAGACACTGAGGCCCCACCCGAAGTCTTCTGAGACGATGAGTGTTCCGTGTGGGATCCAGATTCAAGCTGTTCAACCACATCTGGAGGGGCCGCAATGACAGCAGCCCCAAGGGCACTACGGCGGACGCAGCTGTAAGCATGCCCAAGAGTCGAAGATACCGCACAAGAGGCAGCGCCATGCCGCGCCTGAATTCCGGGAGCACGCTCAATATACTGTCCACCCGCTGGGGTGACGGGCAAGCAGTCATTGAGATGGAATCCATGGCAATGCCCAGGAAGACAGTCTCCTGTGAGGGGGTCAGACTGCTTTTCTCCATGTTCACCTGCAAGCCCAAGCATCCCACATGATGGAGCACTAACCGAGTATCTCGAACCGCCTGGTCCCACGTCGCAGCACAAATGAGCCAGTCGTCCAGATATGGGAGGATCCTCAATCCCTGTGCCTGCAGAGGAGAGAGGGCTGCTGCAACACATCGGGTGAACACCCTGGGGGACAGCGAAAGTCCGAACGGGAGGACCCTGAACTGGAAATGCCTCCCTTGAAAAGCAAAACGAAGAAACCGCCAATGGGGCGGAGCGATCGGAACGTGAAAATAAGCATCCCTGAGATCTATGGAAGTGAACCAATCGCCCGGGGAAATCGCCTGCAACACTTCCTTGGTGGTCAGCATATGAAAGGGCATGGCCTTCAAGTACACATTCAGGCCTCTGAGGTCCAAGACTGGACGCAAGCCCCCGGTCTTCTTCGGAACCAGAAAATACGTGGAATAAAAGCCCGCTGGATCCAGCAGGGGGTCCACAGGCACTATAGCACCCTTGGCCAGCAAGGTGCAGATTTCTTGGTTCAGTGCCTGTGCCTTCACCGGGTCGTGGATCACAGTCATCCTGACCCGGCCAGGGATAGGTGGCCGGCGGCGGAATTGAAGACGGTACCCCCGGGACAGGGTGGACAACACCCACAAGTCCGGGGTGTGGGCAGCCCAGAAGCTGAGCTGTCCCGGGGAAAAATAACCGACCGCCGGCCCTAAGGCATCATCTGCGGGTCCCCCGGCCCTTCGAAGGCCCGGGAGGACGCCGGCCAGACTGCGCGGCTCGAAAGGGATGAAAGGACCTCGTCCCAGCCTGGTCTCGAGCTCTGTTCCTCCGATCTAGAGCAGGTCTCTGGACCGATCTCTGACCTGGTAACAGACCCTGGGGCTCAGTGGGAGAAGGAGAAGGCACTAAAGACCTCCGTGAAGGACCCGCAGCTGCCCAGGTGCTTACTGGCTGGCGATCACGTCTGTGAAGCCCTGCCAGCTGTTGCCTCGTTCTAGAGGCCTGAGCCGTACGGTCCAAGGCGTCCAGTGCCGCTGAACCAAAAAGCTCCCCCGGGACCACAGGCAGGGCCCGGAGGGTCCTCCTACAAGGCTCAGTTAGTGGTGACTGCGCCAACCAGACCTGGCGGCGAGCATGAACCAGTGTGGGGAGTGTGCGTCCAAGTTCCCTCGTCATAAGAGCAAAGGCCTGCAGAGATGCATCAACCAGGCCTTGCGTGGCATGATCCAGCGGAACAGATTCCAAGGAGGAAGACAGGGCCAGCATAAGATGGGAGAGAGAGTTCCCAATCCGGCCCATGCGGGCCCCAGAGTCATAGGCCTTACAGAGAAGGTCGTCGGTAATACGGCACTGAGGACGCGGACAACGGGCATTGGGCCGCAAGGCCTCATCAGGCGGGATTATAAGAGAGGCAATGCCCGGTTCCACCGCTGGCATCTGCCCCAAGCCAACCTTGGGTGCCTCCTGCATAGCTGCCAGGACCCTGCCATCCGTCGTCAGACGTGAAAACGCCTTGGTGTCTGACCAGCAAGCATGAAGTTCCCGCACATACTCCGCCGAGGGAGGAACCACAAAGGCAGTCTCTGACCTACTGCGCCTAAAGAAGGCGCTGGAAGCCGCAGGCTGGGCATGAGGAACACTAATCTGTAAACGGGCAAGAGCCGTTCGAATAGCGGATGTCACAGACTCCCCCGCATCCTCCTGGGAGGCAATGGAGTCCGACCCAGAGGCCCCGGAGCCCAGCTCCGGAAGGTCCTCACAGAAATGGGTGCCAGAGGCGGCCACAGAAACGGCATCGTCGTCATTGACTGACGTTTCATCCTGCTCGGTAGGGAGAGCCGTGCCGCGATCACCAGCAGTCTGAAAGGACTGGAGGAGGGCTTTCATTTGGGCCAGCTCAGTAGTGAGATGATCCACTCTGGTGGACAACCTCCCTGCATCGGTCCGTCTAGCACGCTTTGTCGGTACCGAAGGTGCAGCCACAGTAGATCGTTTGCACACCGCTTTCTCCATCGGCAAACGAGCACGCGGCGAAGCGCCCGCCCAGTCGGTAGGCTGCTCCAGTGCAGCCAACCGATCCAGTCTGACCGACCGGGGCATGACGCGACAGTTGGGGCAAGCGTCATCTGACAGCGCCTCCTGGAGATGTTCCACACCGAGGCAGGAGGGACACAAGTCATGCCCGTCATCCGGCTGAAGTGGAGCCAGACAGGTCGAGCAACATAAATTATCCAGCATCATACTGCTGAAAGGCGTGATCAGCCTGCTACCAAGGACAAGTCAACACGAGCAGGAAACGCTACTGGCGACTCGATTATTAACTAAAGATGAACTCAGCACGAGCAGAGACGCCACTGGTGAGTTTAGGCAAACAAACTATAGAAGAACCCAACGCGAGCAGAAACGCTACTGGTGGGCTTAGGCAAACAAACTGAAAACAACTCAGCGCGAGCAGAAACGCCACTGGTGAGTGTAGATAAACAAACTATGGAAGAACCCAACGCGAGCAGAAACGCTACTGGTGGGCTTAGGCAAACAAACTGAAAACAACTCAGCGCGAGCAGAAACGCCACTGGTGAGTGTAGATAAACAAACTATAGAAGAACCCAACGCGAGCAGAAACGCTACTGGTGGGCTTAGGCAAACAAACTGAAAACAACTCAGCGCGAGCAGAAACGCTACCGTGAGTCAAAAGAGCCACAAAATTAACGTGGCAAATCAAAGCGAACAGTAAACTACTGCTGAGAAAAGAACGAAAACTTACCAGTCACCGCAGATCTGGTAAGGTGAAAGCAGCTTGTGCAGCCCCTGGAGGGCGAGACTTACCCGCAGCTCCGACCAAACCCGGTCACGGGGCTACCAGCAACAAGCAGCCAGGAAACTAGTGGTATACACAGAAGCAACCAGCTTCACACGACCACACTCCTGTACTCAACACACCTGCGCGCGAGAAGAACAAAAGGGATTGATTGCCGGGTGCCACGTGACTATATAGAGTCACGTGGGTCCCCGGCAGGTCACAGCTGACTTTGTTGTCATTAATACTCGACCTGCGCATGCGCATGAATGATCATTCAGTGCTTGAAGCACAGCCTCTGGCGGTCAGTAGGGATGAAATAGAACTCCCTTTTAACAGCAAGAAACCTCCAGCAGAACCAGACTCAGTGTGAGCGGCCATCTGCCGAGGCCGACTGGGGTTCAAAGAGGCAGAAGCAGAGATAAAGAAAGCAACTGTAAAAGGCGGCTCCGTCCAGGAAACACACAGCCAGGCAGAGGAGCTCTGAGCCAGCTCCCATGTCAGAGGATGAAGAGAGCACATCCAGCCAGTCACAGTAAGAGAAACAGGACTACACTGGATGATTATTTCAGTAATCGATTAATCACTATTAGACCCATCCATCCATCCATCCATCCATCCATCCATCCATCCATCCATCCATCCATCCATCCATCCATCCATCCATCCATCCATCCTTTAATCTGAAAATACGTCTAATATAAAGCTCTTATCATTTCCGGTTTCGCCTCTACGTCAGCGGAAGTGCTCCCTGAGCAACAGCATCAGGAGGAAAAAAACCCTACAATGATTGAAGAAAACGGTCCTTCTGCACATGTAGGTGTCTCTCTCTCTCATATTTTTGAGTCGTTTATTCTAAATCCAAAGCGTAAAGTCTGAGAAATAAATATATTTGATTTGAAAAAAAAAAAAACAGCTTTATTAGGAGTCCAGGTCGAGATAAACATTAGCTTGCGGCTAACATATTAGCTCGTTCATCTGTTTTTTTTACTGTAACAATCTCGTGGGTTTTAGTTTAGATTTACTAAAACTGTCGAAACCTCATCACAATGATTACTAATAGTTTTTGGCCACGTGCTGCTCCTACCAAATGTAATCATTTAATATTTTAAAAGTTCGATTTGCTGATTTTGAAGATTGAAGTAGGTTATATCATAACAATAAAGCCTATTTCTGCCTCTGTGGTGGAATAGAAATTAATCTTCATCTCATATTTATGAGACAACTGTTAGAATAAATAATTATTACCTCATAAAGGCTTGCAGGGTCATAGTAAACACATGAGATGCTGTCATTATTAGAGACAACCACGATACTTGGTTGTCATTATAATGCATGTTATCATTTATAGGTATCTTGTTAACTACTTTAATCATAAATATATGTTACTATTTCTCTTTTTGAGACACTGTCATAATAATTTAGAAATTTCTTATTAAGATATACTGTCATTATTATTTTAATATACTCCATGATTTACCCACTTATTATTATCTATTAATCAAAAATATATTTTGTTTTGATATATTATAACTATATTAATATATATTCATGGGGGAGTGGTTCTCATACAGAATCAGTGTGATCTGAAACCTTTGTTGTCCTCTCATCTAGGAGCAGTCTGAAGTGTCCCCCTCGTCCCAGGCCAGGCAGAAGCTGGAGGGGCTCTTGAACAAGAACATGAGGATCCGCATGACGGATGGACGGACCCTGGTGGGGCTCTTCCTCTGCACAGACCGGGACTGCAATGTGATTCTGGGCTCGGCTCAGGAGTTCCTCAAATCCTCAGGTAGGACAGGAGGCGAAGGAGAGCAATGGATCAGTTTGCTACTCCTATTTTTTTTATTTATATATGTATATTTATATTTTTATGTAAATATATATATATATATTTAAAAAAAGAATAAGTTTAATAAAGAGAATAAGTTTAAAATGGACATTTAAAGACATGGACCACTGGCTTTTAAAGCTAAAGTTTCCAGGCCGCTGTAAAAAAATTAATATATATATATTTTTATGATATAAGAAATATAGGGATGATTGATCAAAATAATTTTTTTTTTTTAACAATCAGTGACACAAATACATCTGTTAGGGAAGATATGTGAACAAAACAAAAAGCTCTCATTACCTGGTTGCATAATTAAGCACAACCTTCCTCCTCATCTCTTACCATCGAGTCTCCTTTAGTTCACACCTGCTCTTAATTATACTTTAATCTGATTAACCTTTAAAACCTTTTTTGTATCTATTAGCTAAGGTTGTATTTTGCAGAAAGAAATTAAAGAATCAATCAGTCTAGGATGAGGAGCAAAACTTTTTAAAGTTTCTTGAACACAGTGTGGTACATTTATTTTAGTAAATTAAAAAAAAACTTTGGGACGTTACAAAAAGATGTATTTCCAGCTGGTAATGATCGTGCTCTACGAGTGAAAACCATCCCATCTATTCTCTATTTCACCTGGACAAGTAGTGAAATTAAATTCTTCTAATGAAAACATTTAAGCCGGGTTCAAAATGGCTGAAAATATCCGGTGTTTATCTACAGAGAGCGATATGTGGAGGAAAGATGATCTCACAACCTAAGAGGCTTTATTGGCATCAGCAGATTGACTGCTACTAAAGAAAACTGAAGTTAACAGAAACCTCAATGGAGGATAAGTCTAGGGCTGAAACAATTAATAAAATTTATGAATACTTGTAAACTAATTTAGAAATCAAATCGTTACCTAAAGTAATAATACACAGACTCTAAAACATGTCAGCTGCTGAAAGAAGAAACCTGCTTACAGCAGTAATTAAGGCAAAACGACAAGATATTTAATCTTGAAAGTTTCCAAGATTAATATATATTATATATATATGGATATGTGCCTTTAGTTAATGTTTTTTTGGACATTTACAATTCATTTAAAATGTATAATATATGCCTTATTAAATCTCCTAACATTTGTTTACAAATGCAAGTTAAAAAAAAAAGTATCTCTTTTTAGATTTATCTATTACTAAAATAATAGATAGACAAGTTAAAGGAATAGTACACCCAAAACATGATTAGCCTTCATTTTCTACTCACCCCCATGCTGAACAACACCCTGGAGTACTTTTTTGATATCTCAAATGCATCTGGAGATCTGGGAGGCTTCTTGCTGTCTGCTGATATTCAAATAATGGAGGTCTATGGTGCCTGAGACAGAAAGGTCCATAAAAGTCCACAAAAACGTGTCAATATTCCTCCATACTGCTCGTCCAATGTATTCCAAGTGTCCTGAGTGGGTAGCATCCAGAATTTACTCGAAACTAAGTCATTTAGAATGTTTTTAGAGCATAAACAGTAGTGTATAGTATTTCCTAAAAGCGCGTTCACAAGTCTACGGAAACCGCGGCAGACCAAACCAGATGAAAGTGCGCATTCAGCTCGGCACAGAACTCATGCTCTTCCTCAACACTGAAGTCCTCAGACATTTTTATTTCGTTGTTTCTTTCTTTGCACAGGTAAACAGCACATTTCTTCTTCTACGCTTGCATTATCGGCAGAGCAGACGCTGAATGCGCACTTTCATCTGGTTTGGTCTGCCAGCTTCCGTAGCGTCCTAAACACGCTGGCGGCGCTTTCAGGAAATCCTATACACTACTGTTTATGCTCTAAAAACATTCTAAATGACTTCGTTTCGAGTAAATTCTGGATGCTACCCACTCAGGACACTTGGAATACATTGGACGAGCAGTATGGAGGAATATTGACACGTTTTTTGTGGACTTTTATGGACCTTTCTGTCTCGGGCACCATAGACCTCCATTATTTGAATATCAGCAGACAGCAAGAAGCCTCCCAGATCTCCAGATGCATTTGAGATATCAAAAAAGTACTCCAGAGTGTTGTTCAGCATGGGGGTGAGTAGAAAATGAAGGCTAATCATGTTTTGGGTGTACTATTCCTTTAAGGGTGTATAAACCTGTTATTTTATCTGTTATTCTTTTACTTCTAACATATTAGTTTGTTTTTCACCTGAAGGTTTAAATTTTCTTGTTGAATAACTAATGATGGAAGGTGATTAATCAAATAGTTTTGTTAAAATACTTTTGGCTCTAATTTACTTTCCAAAAGAGGAGAGAAGTTATTAAGTTGGTGTTTTAGCCAGCTGTTTCTTATTGGTCTATTTTCCATCATAATATGCTGAGATCCACCTCAGCTGAAGATTCTGAAACATTCTTTAATTGGTAGAGCTGTATTTGTGGGTTAAAGGTAAAAGCAAGTTGGTCTGCGTTTTCTGAAGTGGGTTGTTTTTCTGTCCTCAGACACTTTTTCCCAGGGTGAACCCAGAGTCCTGGGCCTGGCCATGATCCCCGGACACCACGTGGTTTCCATAGAGGTGGAGGCTGACAGTCTGGAGGAGGCTGAGGGGTTTGGATTCACCCACTGATGACAGAGCGCCGCCCCACGTTTTTGATCCAGAGACTGTTTCCTGTTGAGGCCCGTGTTCAGACGAGAAGAGGAGTGTGGACCCAGAACCTCTAGATTTTTCTCTTTCCTTTGACGATGAAAAGAAAAGTCCATTGGCAGCAATTATGGAAGCCTCCTCTTCAGACTGAGATCATTTAGGACACCATTTGTTCAAGGATCTTAAAATAAATGGATCAATTTCATCTTTTTAAATTGCTGATTCCAAAATGCCACATTATTTTTTTAATTAAAACATTAGAAAAACCGATTAATCAATTTAAACCTTTACTGTAGGAGCTGCAAATGCTTGAAAAGTTCTGTTTTTCTGTGAAGCACTGAAGTAACAATAAGTTTTTTTTAACCCCAGCTTTACATCTGATGAGCATCATGGAGTCCTCAGACCCCTCACAGCAGTTAGCAGTGCATATATTGCAATATAAAATAGTTCTTAATAGAAAACAGCAGGTTTGACAAAACAAAAAGTGTTTTCTGTTGGATATAGGATTGAGTTGAATTATTGTTGGATTAAAGGCATATTTAATCAAACTGATCTATGATCCCTGGTATAAGATAAATAGCCTGTATGAGAAACATCCCCATATAATGATGCGTGCACCTCCATGCTTTGGTGTTCTTTGGTTTAAAATCAGTATCTGGAGTAATATTCCACACTTTCTAGTGCTTTCAAAAACATTTCTGTGGAACACTCTAGAAGTGGACCTGAGGAGGAAGAATGAGTTCAGTCTGGATGGTTTTTGTCCTTTAATAAACTCCAACATATCCACTGAGTCAGTTTGGCAGCAGAAGAAAAAGGATGCCACAATCAAAACCCTCCTAAAATAAATCTCACTGTTCCTTTCACCTATAAATACGACGACCTCGTCACATTTTGGTTCACAAAACAAGCAGCTACAGTCAGTCTGTCTTTAAGATGAGTTGGTAACAAAATAACTTAAGCGGTGCAAAAATAAGCAAAATAAACAAAATCTGGCTGCAGACAAAATAAAATCACAAACCTATCCTGCAACAATTTAATTTCACTTTTTAGATAAATATCTAAATGATCCGAACAATAAGTGCACTGAAATTGATGCTCTGGCTTTGGCCGAGGTTTTTTATTTATAAATAAGGCTCGCTGATAGCCAATGAAGCTTGAGAGTCAAAAGACTTAAAGTAAATTAAAGGAGAGGAGAAGCTGTGGAGTGTTTTTGCCCTCTTTCCAATCCGAAAAAAAAAAAAAAAAAACAGAAAAGCAAAAATACACACCAGATTTAATTACTTTCTGCTTTCATTCATCAATTTTTCTATCATCTGTATATATACATAGATATACATCTCCAAACCTACACAGGAACCCCGTAGAAGAACCATTAGCTTAAAGCAAGATAGAAAATCCAAAGGAATTCAGTGTTTCACCGTTAATCCAGGAGCTCAAAGTGCTTTTCATTTCATCGACTAGAAAAAGTCTTGATTCTCAATTGTAGAGAAGCTTCATCCCAGTGGGACGTTGACTGAAGTTAGGAAAGCTGGGATTCCTTTAAAGAATACTGCAGGCGAGAATAAAAAGTGGCACGTTGACCTTCTTCCTCCATACGAGGCCCAGAGATTGGCACGAAGAAAGAAACATGAGCAGAGACATCCACAGTTTTCATCCAAAAAACTTTTAACTTCCTTCATCCACCTTTAAAGCAGGTGAAAAACATTGAAATTCATCCCGAGGTTCCTTAGTAATAAAACAAGTTTATGTGACTAAAAGAGCAGATTAGTCTGAACATGCGGCTGCAGTCCTGCTCCTTAGTTGTACTCGAACTTAAAGTGGTAGCTGCCGCCGGACTCGAAGGGGTTAAAGTGGAACGGCCAGGCCCTCTGTCCGCCACCCTGCTGGCTCTCCGGGTCCAGAGGATCCTCCCCCTCATCGAACTTCTGCCTCATCTCTATGGAGTTGGTGGGAAAGATATAAAAAACAAAAGTTAGCAAGACTGAAAAAGAAGAGAGAAAATTAAAACCCAGACACAGCTTTTTATTTTAATTTTCGGACATTTAAAAAGATTTCTAGAAAAGCAGGAAGTGATGTGTGCATCAAACCATCTCCTCACCTGGGTCTGTCAGGACTTCCTTAGCAGAAGCGATGTCGATAAACTTCTTCTCTGCCTCCTTCTTCTCTGCTTCCGACTTGAAGTTGTCAGGATGAAACTGCTGAGCCAGCTTCCTGTACGCCTTGATGATCTCCTGCTTATTAGCATTCCTGAGGGAACGGCGGGACGGATGCTTCATTAAAGAGCTGAACAATTCCAGTTAAAGCAGTTGGAGATGGATCTAGATGGACACTACACCTGCTAACTCCCAGGATCTTGTAGTAGTCTCTTTTACGAGAGATTTTCAGCAGCTTCTGCGCTCGTTCCAGACCATCTTTGATGGCGATGCTGTCGCCGTCGAACTCTCTCGCCTCCTGATAGTCTTCGACAGCTAAAGGATGAAAAAATCACATAAATCTGATATCTGTTTAACACCAAACACTTGTTTATGCGACACTTTTCATGCTAACTCGCTAGATGTATTTTCTTTTTATTCTGCCCTGGACAAATATCTCATGCTAACTGAGGCTTTTAGTGAAACCTTGAGTTTTTCTGTTACCTGAATGGTTTAGTTCTACAACCAGCAACTTCAGTGAGTTTCAGAAGCAGGAATCAGGCGCCAAGTCTGGGTTTCCTGAACCATATTCTAGTTTAAACACAGCTGCTGAGAAATCTTTACAATTTTTGCAGCAACTGGCAACTTTGTGGTTCTTCTTTTTATTTTGAGCGCCCTTCTTATGACTGGTTATTGACAGACAGCCTGTAGTATGTTGACTCCTGCTTTATTCCAGGATCTCAAAGTTAATTTGCTTTATTTACTATAATCCGAGTGTGTGTTTTGGGATTACTGTCCTGTTGGCAGAACCCAGACTTGTAGGACTTGGTCTTTCTACCTTTCTCGTAGTCCTGGTTGAGGATGTAGGCCTCTGCTCGGTCACGGAGGACGTTGGCGTTGCGAGGGTCTCTCTGATGGGCCTCTGAACAAACATCGATGGCCTCGGCTGCTAACTGAAGCTGCATTAGCGTGAAGAGCAACAAGTATTAGAGACTAAATGACGACTAAAACATGATAAAGTCCCTAATGTGGCAGACGTCTTTTTTTTCCCTCACCTTGACTAAACAGAAGCAGATCCTCTCTTTAGCCCGGTTGATATAGGACTGGACGTTTGGCTCCGTCTTCATTACTGATTCATATTTATCAATAGCTTCTTGGTACCTGATTGAGGAGAGAGAGTAATAAACAAAGAAAAAATAACTGATGTCACATCATCTTGCAGCTTTCTAAACAAAGTGTGAGGGCAACATGATCTAACTATCTGGAAACTGTTGATGCAAAAAACCCAAAAAACAGTGAGCAGTCATCTCAAAGATCCTTTGTTCTGATTAATGTCATGAATATGTAATGTTGTGACACACGGAAACAGAGAGAACTATATTACAATAAAAAACATGTAATGCAGGTTAAAAAAAAAAAGGTTTAAATGTGTGTTTTTGGTAGCATAAGACCACAATTAATGTTCCCTCTAATTTGCCATGTGTCTGGAGAAAAAAACAAGCCTCCCGAGTACACTGAGGCTCTGTAAGAACACAAACCAAATATTTCCAGTGCATTTTCATAATTATTTTATTTAATGTGGTTTTGTAAGGTCGCCCTTTCTCCATATAATGTATAGAATAATCAAGGTGCACCGACCTGTCCTCATTGATGAGCTCCTCTGCAGAATCCAGCTGCTTGCTGAGCTTCTTCACCTGCTTGTAGTGGCTGAAACACTCTTTGTCGTCCTGGTCGAGCTTCAGACACTCCCTGATGTGGCTGTGAGCAAAACAAGGTGACAGACATGGAGTCAGGGAACATGGAGGCCAAACAAATTAGCAGAGGAGTAGGGAGATGAAATGCTTGGATTTGCATGACCAAAAGTGCAGCAGGCTCACTTGAGGGACTCGTGGTGCTCTCCCAGGCTGTAATGCAGCTTGCTAAGCTTCAGGAAGGCTGCTCGGTTATCGTTGCGTAATCTAGCAGCGGGGGTGAGATCCTGGATGGCTTTCTGCGGATCCCCCATCCGCATGTAGCAATCGGCCCGAAGCTCCCTTGACTCTGGATCCCAGGGAGAGATCTGAGATACAAAATGACATTAAAGAGATAAAACAACATTTCCAACAGTTAAAACACTTCAAATCCTAAAAGTAATGCTTTCCACATACAAAGAAAATGGTCAGTATTGAGAAATTGGCCCCTCCAATCGCCACACCCACCTCTATAACCCTCTCCAATGCGTTGATGGTGCCGCTGTAGTCCCCCTGGTGGTACGCGGCGTGGGCTTCCTCCTGCAGTTCCTCCAGCTCGTTCGTCTTCATCAGCTGCTCCTGAGCTTCACTGTGGTCGGCAGAACCCCGCAGCTGGGAAAGAAAAAAACAGGTGGATGCTGATCTCCATCGGGGGAAAGCATTACATGCATCATTTCACTGCTTCCGATGTGTTTAGGGCACGTTTCTTATTCTTTACTACCGTATTTTCACGACTATAAGGCGCACTTAAACGTCTTTTTTTTCCCTCAAAATGTGCGGTGCGCCCTATGGTGCGGTGCGCCCTATGTGTGTTGTAACTGCGACTTTTGAGACCACCTCATTGAGGAGATGATGAAAGAGTGGCTGAATGTAAGGAGACCAGGTGTTTTTTTTCCACCCCTCACCATCGCTGTTAATATGTAACTCCATGCGTGCCCATCTCACAGCTGATGTGAAAAACATGGGGAAACAAATTAACGCTGTGCTCGCTGTTCAACCGCTCGACATCGGTGTGAACCGTACCCAGCAGGTGCAGCAGAAGCTGCGAGTTTACATGCAAAGTCAATGGTTGACGCGCGTATAGGTGCAGCAAAAGGTCCTGCAGCGCGTTTTGGTGCAGCACGTCGGGAGCGTTTAAGCATCTGACGCACCGCCAACGCGCTGCTGCTGCTCAGATGGAAAAATTGAAGTTTTGCTGCTGGACGCGCCGCATCAACCAATCAGAGAAGCTGATCTGGGAGCTGACAGCGAGACAGACACAGCGCTCTGATGACATATGATATTAATGCAAATGAAAAAGGCTGGATGAATGAGGAGATGATGAAACCAGGTGCTTTTTTCCACGCATCACCATCGCTGCGTGCCCATCTCACAGCCGATGTGAAAAAAAGATGAATCAAATGAACGCTGTGCTCGCCGTTATCCCGGGGGTCTGACAAAGGAACTTCCACCGCTCGACATCGGTGTGGAGCGGCCGTTCACAGTAAGGTTGCGAGCGGCGTGGGAGCGATGGATGACAGACGGAGACCACAGTTTCACGATAAGTGGAAGGCAGCGCCGTGCAAGTTACGCCACCGTTTGCGGATGGATTGTAGATGGACTGTGTCTGCTGGCTCTGTTGTTCAAGCTTTCGCAAAAGCCGGCATTATTTCTGAGGAGCTGCGCTGCACGGAAAGTGACTCTGACAGCG